TTGTGTAAATTATGTAAACTTTGTTGTCGACGAGATGTTTATGTAATTCAAATTATATTTATTTATACGACCTTATAAACTAATTTTGTTGAGCTGATGTTGACATAAGTTTTTGTTGTCGTTGTTGTTAGTGTTGTTGGTCGATGGCTAACGTTTCGGCGATTTCGCCTTCCTCACAGCAACACTCTAAGCTTCAACGTTGCAGCACGGCTGTGAGGAAGGCGAAATCGCCGGAACGTCAGCCATCAACAGCAACGGTAACAACAACGACAACGACGACAATAACAACAACAACGACAAAGTAAACTTATACCAACCTCACATCACCTTAAGAGGACCAGTTTATAAGATCACGTAAATAAATATATCAACTATTTATGGCGAGGTTCATAGAAAGTCGGTCTTTTGAATACTTCAAAATATTCTTGTTGAGCAAATATGAGGTGTTAGTTTATTCTTGATTACGATTATGCCAACATTTCGCGAATTTCACCTTCTCCAGAGCCTGGAGTGGTCAAGCTGACTGCAATCTGCCCAGCCAAATGCCTCCACAACCATAGAGAGAAAATGCTAAACTAAGATTTCAATCGCGTAGAAAATAAATCAGCTTCTTCACACAATCACCGCCTTTTATGAGTCTTCCACTGAGTATCTGACGTGGAGACCAGCCTCACAGAACTCGCATGGACGCATAATGTGTCTCTCACACTGTAATAACGGCCTTAAATGTTGTCCAATATGACGCTTGTTTACGAGATGGAAAATCTTTTNAATGCCTCCACAACCATAGAGAGAAAATGCTAAACTAAGATTTCAATCGCGTAGAAAATAAACCAGCTTCTTCACACAATCACCGCCTTTTATGAGTCTTCCACTGAGTATCTGACGTGGAGACCAGCCTCACAAAATTCGCATGGACGCATAATGTGTCTCTCACACTGTGATAACGGCCTTAAATGTTGTCCAATATGACGCTTGTTTACGAGATGGAAAATCTTTTTGGACTGATATGTCTCTGTTTCTCATGCCTACCTTGAGGAGTATTTCGTTTAACTTTAAAAATCGGAAAACAAAATCTGCCGATACGTCAACATTACTATCAATAAAGAATAGGGCCACACCTGGTGTTTTCTCAACAAGAATAAAGTGAATTATCTCATCAATGCCGAGGTTTGTAGAAAGTCCGTCTTGAGAATTATTAAGAGGTCTTTATTTTCTCCACTCTTACTTTTAGTATTTTCATATGAATAAAGATAAAGGATAAGGATAAAGCTCTCGGTGTTGATCAATCCCTGAGGGATGTATCATGCATTCGACTTCGTTAGGCATCGTTTGGAGGAGATTGAATGTATATCTGGCCTTTGTAATGACTCACGGTGGCCCACCGATGCACCGAGTCAGTGCTGCTATCCTCCCAGACAAGTCCGGTACCAATTTACCGAACCCGTAGATATGGAAGCTTGGTGGGCCATGAGCGCGTGGATCTATTCCACGTATGTGTTGCAGGGCACCTCTGACCATTGCGGCACACGATCATATGAATAAACTGTAAAAATAAATCCCAGGATCGACTTTCTCTTAGCCTCGGCATTGGAATATGAATGTGTCGTTTTCTTGTTCAGCAATCGCGAGGTTTTTAAACAGCATACATTTACTTCCTGTAAAAATAAATTCGAAAAACATTTTATAAATAAAGAAAAAAGTAAAAGACAACAATTTGGAAGCTAATAATACAAATGAAATTGATAATGATAATCTTTAAGAATCGAACAACAAGAAAAATGTACTTTACTTATGTTAGTCATTCTATTTTACCTTCTTCCAATGGTACAACTGGAATGCAGGCAGAAATCATGATGGATTGATGGAGTAATAGAGTAATAAGTGCTAACTGAACGCTAAAGATCATTTCGTGCTTTTAAAGTATGGCGAAGTCGGGAGCCTGCAAAAGTGGAAATCGGGGCGGTCGTTCGTTTCCCACCTCGTGAAAAGCGCTGAATTAAATAGATGATCTGACTAGCAACCCATTTTCTCGTGAGTCAATTCCTCAAATAATTTCATCATTCAAAAACCGGAATAAAATGCACGAGAATGTTTTTATCAGCACATGTTAACGTCATCACCAGATCTAACCAAAGTCGTTGTGACAGTCAGAAGGAAAGTAAATCAGGCCGCAAAACCAGGAGCTGTGGGATATGTTGACAAGTAGTAACTAGGGATAAAAATAACAGTATGGAAACAGTATAAATATAGAAACTATAGAAGACGTGTGACACAATAGAGGTAACGAGCCCTACAATGCGCCTGTAGTGATACCACTTTTGCTTGATAGAACACAAGCACTGATTAAACGTTCAAATGCGACCCTACGCAAGGTTATCTTATCTATCTAAGATAAACGTTCAAATAATGTAAAATTAAGATAATGGTGAGATATTGACAAAACTCCGGACCGCAGTTGTCTACGGTGGGAAAGAACGCGCTATTGTCCATTCCGGGGAGTAACGCGTTCACCTCCACACCATGCGGGTCCTTCGTTTCGCATGTCTCTCAGCTAGTCCTATTGATCGGTAATCACGGGACCATAGAAGAGGCTTTGGTTTATCAACTTGGTAGTACATATTAATACGTGCTATATTTTACTGCAGTTGACCATCCCACCTTACACCGATCAGCATTTGAAACTGTTCTATAGTTCATAGTGAGTCTATCATGATAATATTGTTAAAAAACGAGTGAGGCTTTCGTTCTTTGTCATTCCATGAGGAGTGGACCAGTGTTTCTTTCATCCAGCATCGTAGAAATGGTTTAACGTGCTTAGCCTGTACCTTGACTTGCGGTGCCTTATGTTTACCTAAATTCAACGTTTCAAAACCGCCTTTGCGTCAACCTCGAGATGACTAATCAATATAAATTTTTTCGTTGATATACATGAGGTTGATAAGCAGCTTTATTCGGCCAAAGTCTCAACGTGTTCGTCTTCATCAGAGCCGATGATCCGAGTCGGCGATCCACAGTTGTTCGTCTTCTCGATGTGGAGTTCTCGTCTTCGTATCGAGTACGATATTCCTCAGCGGAGCATCTCTCGAACGAGGCACTCTCAATAGCAAAAAATTAACGATTAGCAGCGATCGGCTGAAGGACATTAGTCGAATAAAGTTAGTTTATCAACCTCATATAACTTGAATGTTGAGGATTTGGCAGACTTTTAGAATAGAATTCCCTTATCAGCACAAAAAATGTAATGAACTGGCGAAGCTGTTCTTCTTTCATTTCAAGTTTGTCTATTATTCCAACTTTTATAAAAACCTAAATTCTGTAGAAGGAGAATATGAAAACATGTTTCATTCGCAAAGGTCTCTAGATTCCGCAAGGTTTTATTTTAATAGACAAGGTTCACTGGTCCTCCCAACTGTTTACCGCCTCATCGTGGCTGGGAGGTGCTCCTGGGTGTCGGACTGTGATGTACAGCGAGGATTCATCCCTTGGCAGGGTCCCCCAGCTGAGAAGGAGTCCGGCGCCTCCATTAGGAAACCTAGCTGAGAGTAAACCAATACCAAGACCCACCACCGTCCTGGTATCAAAGTCGTATGGTGGTAAATCTCCCTCTGATCCACAAAGGCTACGACTGCCTGTCGTGGTGAAGGCCTGGGGCAGACTTTGGCCAGGCGGACTCCAGAGAGCCATAATGGCTTAACCAACAAATCTCCGAAATTGGAGATTATGCTGTGGCCCACACAACCAGTGAGGACGTGCCATTCAAGTATCAAGTAAGTAAGGTTCACTGGTAGCTAACATGTTTTTGCAAACTGCTTTTGTTGGGCTGATATGAGGTCGGTATTATGCAAGTTGTCGTTGTTGTCACCGCCGTTATTGGTCGATGGCCGACGTTTCGGCGAATGTGCCTTCCTCAGAGCTGGAACGCATTCTATGTAATAACGGCATTATAATTTCATGGAATATCTACACCGTTAAATATGATCTACTATATAGATAAAAGCAATTTTCTTTAAATATTGCTCACCGTACTGTTACGTGTGAGAGCACCCGTGTGTTGTTCATGTGGGATGACAAGCGAGGCCCAATCAGGTCAACAAATCAAAAAGAAAAAATGCGCAGGTCACGTGTAATAGTGAGGCATTCATTCGCCTGTCCGGTTCCTCTTTGGGCTTTTGAAATTTATCCGCAACGCTTGAAGAGTATTGCTTGTCGGTGTTTTTTATTATTACACTAGGATCAGGGCTGTAACTTCAAGTTCACCATCACTGCGCTTTTGCGCACTATGTGTTCCCAGATAAGTACTTTGTCGAATTTTAAAAATCCCATTTGGGTGTTCTTTTACGCAGACATAAAGTGGTCTACCTGACCCCTAACGTATCCTTCACCACATCTCTTACATGAGACAAGTGATACATCATCTGCTCGCTTTCACGTAAAAGAATATCTGGATGGAGATCTCAAAATTCGGCAAAGCATAACGGTAATGATTTTGAAGTGACTGTCAGGATCTTAGGGAGAAAACAAGGACATCAACGCATAAGACTCTTGAGGCGTTTCGGATAAATTTCGAAAAAGTACCCATAGTTGAGCCGGAAAGTCGAATGCCGCACTATTACACGTGATCTGGCTCATTTTTTCAAATTGCTTTTTGACATGGGTGGACCCTATCCATCATTCACGTGAATAGTCCACGGGTAATAGCACTCGCAACAGCTCGATTAGTTTTTGAACAAAGTGTCGATCATTTATTTATATGGTTAGATCCTTATTAATACCATACATTTTTCACCGGATTAGAAGGCTATTATTACATGGAAATACGCAAAGGCTCCGACGATGGCGAAATCGCCGAAAAGTCATCCATCGTAACGACAACAAACAAACTATAGAGAACATTCTTCACGAATATTGGAGTATTTTCTATGTAAAACATTTTAATTGCTTCTCCTATAACCTTTTTCCATAACAAACTGATAACCGTATTTCTGACATTCCGTTGGATGTTTAATTACCCACGTTTGAAGTGTGCTGATACTTACAAGAAGTCTCGTGCGACATACACAAAGCGAGCAACTAATTCCGGCCAAATCGTCTTAACTACTTGGTATTCCTATAACAACGAACCGTCCCAACAAAATTTGGTGCATTGGCCGCTTGAAAGGTCAGGTCAGGTCAAGGAATTCACGACCAAGTACTTTAACTCTACAATCATGTCCAACCTAACACTGGAAAGCCACAAACGGATACGTACACGCTATACTAACCAATTACAAAAAGTTCTAACCCGATTCAAAGATACGCAGCTAGAAGAAATCAGTATTCAAAACCTGCAAGATGAGATAACGCCCACCGTTATTCACGTAAGCCTACAGCAGTTAGAAGGAGGAGTTGCAGCCCTAAAAGACATGACCTTAAAGATTCAACACGCACTAGACGAACTCGCTATCATATTCGAAAAGGCATACCCGACGCCACGAAATATTGAAGACGAGTTCGCACAGTACTCGAGTACCGCTGAAGAAGCGATTGGCAATACTTTCGAATACCTTGTACTCCTTCATGCTCGGATCCATGGCTTCAAGGCTCACGCTAAGCTTTTCGACACCTCCAAAAATCCCCCATTACGAACAGTGACAATTAGGAATCCACGATCACTACAGTCGCGAAAAATCTGGAGCTACCCACAATACCAATCCTAACATTCAATGGCGACATGTGGGACTGGGATAACTTTTTGAAGCTTTTCAACTTAAACGTACATTCACAGAGTCTCTCCGAGCTACAAAAATTCAATTATCTGCTTAGCTCCTTAAAGCGGGAACCTCTACAATCGATGAAGAAGTTCAAACTCACTAGGCAAAAGTACGCAAAAGCCATAGAATTTCTCACCAGTAAGTACGGTAATTCTAAAGAACTTATTTGCCAGCTCCTCAGAAAGATGGACAAAATCTCTCTTAACTCATCGTCGACACAAGAGCAACGTATGCTATTGGAAGACATAGAAGCAATCATAGGCCAACTAGTGCAAAGAGGTGAAAATGTCGACAATCAGCACATGTATCAAAAGCTGCTTTCGAAATTTCCGGTCGGAATCCAACGAAAAGCTCTCCACAAAAAGATCACTCCACCCGACGAACCCTTCACCATGCAGCAGCGGTTAAAATATTTTGAAGAGGTTATAACCAGCGAGGAACTGATATGTCGCCAGACCAGTTCAACACCTCCTCGAGATACAGTTAGCTTCAACAACAAAGTCAAACATTGGAAGTCGTAGACAGCAAAACCCTTGCGCATGTATTGTAAAGGCAACCATAAACCTTTCTATCGTAGCAAATACGAAACACTTCAACGAAGGTACCAGTACCTTCAAAATAATAAGATATGCCATATTTCCTCCTCTCCATCCCATAGCACAGTTCAGTGCGACGTATCGTCATGTCGTAAGTGCCAAAAACGTCACCACACACCATGCTGTTTCTTTCCAACGCCAAACGACAAGACGTTCCTGACATCTGCGAAGAATACGAGCGCCAAAAACGAGGCTAACGTCAGTAAACACAAAGAAAAAAAGCATGAAAAGCCCACCTCTACGTCCGAAATAAACCAAGTCGGACAAGAGGCACCGTCCAAAGACGAAATTTCGACGAAATTCAGCACAAAACTGCAATCAACTTTCCTACCCACAGGGGAATTGATTATAATGAACCCAACCACAAAACAATTAAAGAAGGTTTCCGTCTTACTGGACACGGGAGCTCAGTTATCCTTTATCGACGAAAATCTTTCACAAAAGCTCTATCTACCGACGATAGAGGAAATTAAACTATGGCTAAACACACTCGCGTCAAACTATGTGCAATAACGCGTTTCACGAAAGGTTCCATTACAGAAATGGGACGCGGACGGCCATCAAATATCGTTATTCTTTCTTGTTCACACATAACGCGATAACGAAGCCTTTCAAACCACCACCAATTTGTTCATAAGACATGGACTTCATTGTAAAAAACAACCTTCAAATTGAGATAAATAAAACCAAATCCGGGGTCCAACCTTTTGTTCTACTCGGATGCGACCAACTGTGGACCCTGATGAAAAATGATGAGCCGCACATTGAACTACCATCCGGGATACATCTTATCCCAACGCGCCTAGGTCATTTGTGTACAGGACAACTCAAAGGTCCTCCAGCGTTACAAAGAGAAAATGATAACATGTTGTTACAAGTACAACACAGTGAAGAAAGAAACACATTGGCCATGCAGGATTTCAAGGATGAACTGGACAGATGGGATCAATACTGGGCACTACACGTGCAAGTCGATGAAGAAGAAATGAATAAGTGCAATCAGCCTCGGTCATTGCAATGTCAAATCCATGCTTGCCTTTGAAGACTCAGAAACGGATGGAGACGAAGCAGCCAAATGGGAACAATTTTGGACTCTCGAATCTGCAGGAACAGAAGAATTTACAAACTCCGCAAAAATGGAAGAAGCACTGACAGATTGGCAAGTATGGCAAACCTTCAACAAAATGATTGAAAAAAGATTAGACGGATATTACGCTCGCCTACCCTGGAAAGACGCACAGCTATGACTACCCACTCAATAGACTCGTAAGTGTTTGGAAATCCCTACAAAACAACAAAGATTTGCTCTCTAGGTACAATGGCATATTCGAACAACAACTTCGCCTGCACATCATAGAGTAATTCAACGAACAGTAAACCCCACAAAGCTCTCGAGTTTATTACATTTTCCACCAACCAGTCTTAACTCCCAATAAAAACACCACTGAGATCAGAATTGTTTATGACGCACCAGCTCACTACATGCGATGACCATCACTCAACGACGTCTTACACAGAGGACCAGTGATCCTCTCACAACCACAACGTTGCTGAGATATTTGCAAAACTCTGGACCGCAGGTGTCTATGGTGGGGACCGAACGCGCTATTGTCCTTTCCGGGGAGTAACGCGTTCACCACCACACCATGCGGGTCCTTTGTTTCGCCTGCCTCTCAGCTATTTCTATCGATCTTTGCCACAGCAATCACCCGTCAGCGGGAATGATCTGGGGCGCCCAAATCGGCATAGAACCCAGTTAAGCTGCGGCTGTAGTTGAAATTACAATGTTATACCTTTTTATTTTCTGCCTACTATAATTTCGTAATGTACCCATCTCATCAAAATAACAGACTTGTATACTGCCCAATATCACGCGTGATAATGAGGCATTCCTCCCTGCTTCTTTCGGATTCTTGGAATTAATCCAGAATTCCTCTAGAGTTTTGCGAGCTTGTGTTCTCGATTCTTGCGCGAGGATCGTAACCCCTACTTCAAAATCTTCTCCATTATGTCCCTGCGTCTTATTCGTGCCTAGTGGAGTATTTGGTTTACATTTGCCGAGTAGGTAACAGCATTTTCTCTGGTTATGGAGGTGTTTGGCCGTGTAGATTGTAGTCAACTTGACCTTTCCAAGCTCTGAGGAAGGCGAAATCTGCCGAAACGTCAGCTTGTACGTAAATAAAGAAATAAAGTAACACCTCGTGTTTGCTGAATAGAAGTGGAAAGAATTATTCAATCAATGCCGAGGTTAATAGAAAGTTGGACTTGGAATTGGAAAATCGTTTGCAACACTTTCAAACATAACGAAGGCTCTTTGGAAAAGGGTCCAGAACTTCACAATAATCCAATATGCACTATATTCCAAGAATTTCCTCACGAAAAGCAGCAATTGTTTCTCGTGGAGCATAACAATTCAGACAAAGGGAACGGAAACGATATATCCACCCCATTGGGAAAATACTCTCTGACAAATGTTAAAAGAATCGTAGCAGTAATTATACGCTTCATTTAAATCTTTGCTGCCAAGGTGAACACTCGTAGACAACACCGTATCAAACTTTCCCCACTTCTAAGTGCCACGGACGTCAACCTGAATCCCAACCTCTCAGGCGAAGAGATTACTACAGCTAGAAAAGTACGGGTCAGACAGCATCACTTGCCGACAGTAACCACGTCCCTGCTCTAGTTTATGAGGCTTCTCAACGTCAAACCGGGCAAGGAAGGTTTGCTCCAATGTTTTGGACGACTACAAAACAGCGATTTAAGCAAAGAAGCCAAAAAACCTTTGCTAGTATTTCAGAATACCTGGGTTGCACAAGCAATCATGGAGGATTGTCACAAAAAAGTACACCCAGGAGTTAGCCACACAATGTCAATCGTACGAGAACAATTCTGGATCCCCAAACTGCATGCACAAGTAACACGAATCCTCAGAAGATGCGTATCATGTCAACGCTTCAATAACCTAAAATACAAATACCCAAAAAAGTGACTTACCTAAGCATAGAGTTCACAAACCACGACCTTTCAAGCACATTGGTCTCGACTATTTTGGTCCCATAACAATTATTCAACCAGATTCTACCGAAAGTAAATGTTATGGAGCAATAATAACGTGTATGGCGACGAGACTAATACATTTTGACATCGTCTCCAACCTCACAACTACCTCATTCCGAATGTTTTTAGGCCTACTCTTTGCCAGACGAGGAACGCCCGCATCAATTACAAGTGACAACGCTCCAACATTTGTACTAGTGGAAACCATTCTCAATGAAACCGTCAAATCAATACAAAATGATCCAGAAGCAAAACGTACAGTCGCGAACCATGAAATACAGTAAAAATATATTACTCCATTCACCCCATGGCAAGGGAGCTTTTCAAGAGACTCATCAAATCAGCAAAACATTCCTTGTACAAAGCTTTTGGAACCGCAAAACTCTCAAAGGAGCAATTAATAATGGTAATTATAGCAGCTATTCCCAGAATAGTTTCTATTTCTTTCTATATATATTTGTATCTTTCTACTACTGTATGTTTCAGTATTAAGGATCATATCCACTGTTTCTCAAGTTGCCTAGCAAATGTCGTAGTACGTAATATTTCGATCTCTCCTTAGCAACTTCGATCGCTGTAAGCAGTCTTGTTATGCAAACCTATTTTCGCGGTCTGAACTCGTTGTTTGTTATTACTGTCTAAAAGTCATCACGCGTACAATAACAAGAAGGGCATGAGGATGTTTTGCGAGAGCAGTCTTCCGCTAGATGATAAGTGGTTTTGAGAGGATATGGAAACGGTAGCCGACGAATGTTTTCGGTAAAGCTGTTGGACCTGTGCCAAATACCGCCTTCTCCATAAGCATATAAATAGGCTCGTTAATTGTTATCCAGGTTCGTCGACTATCCAGGTTCACCCGTGTCGGGGTTCGCCGGCTCTTTAGATCTGTACCGTATTGGTCTCGTGTGTCACCAATATAGGTTATCGTAGTTGTTAAGTCATAGAGCATGTAGTCATTATTGTACATTAACTTCATCATATCATTGTTAAATGACAATTGCGAATTGTACATTAGTTTAGCATCACAGCCACTACGTCACGCTTTCCATCAGTCCAGTGTATCCTCATCATCGTCAATATCCTGATCCTCATCCTCGTGTCAATGTTTATTGCTTTTCAGTTGGTCTGCGGTGTGTTATCAGTAGCGGCGGCTATCCTCAAATGCGTTCTGTCTGAAACGCCATCGGTGGCATGTACCATTTCTCCCACACGGTACGCCATGCGTACAAAGCCGCTAGCCGGCCAACTTATGCTGTGTATTTGTTAAGCCGCTATAGGCTTATCATTTCTCAGTCGTTATCTTTTTCGTCCATAATCTCATAGGCAATGGTGGCACCCATCGATGCTCAAGCTTCACGTTGCAGACATATCGTTATCCAAGAGCAGCCGCCTGACCGTGTTCCGCAGATATCCCATCTCGTTCGTAGTCACTTCCATAATCGATGCTTAGGTAACTTAGGTAACTATAACTCATCGATTAATGTGCAAGTACACCCAGCCGCTTTACATACGGTCCCTAGCTTAACCTACTGCAGGGCGCATCTGCATCTCATTCGTCTGTTGTTCTAGCCCTCGGCATCTGGCCACTGTACGCGCCAGTACGGGCGCTATCGTTCGTATCCCCTTACTTATCATTGTTATCAAGTTGCTGTTATTATAGTACTAATGTTGCAATAGTATTATTTACAATACTCTTATGCCTTCGTAAGCCTCGCATTAGTAGTAGCTACAGCACCTTATCGCCTTGAACTTGCCTTATTTGTCTGTCAGTAGTTCTCCGTCGATATTAGTGTTGTATTGATGTTGCATTTAAGTATATAAACGGTTTAATTACCCAAGTTTGAGGTATTGCCTTGTGACAACTA